ATGGCCAAAAAAAAAAAAGCGGGGGGCCGGCAGCCAGGTCTCGGTGGCCACTGTGAGTTCAACCAGTGTTGTCCTGTAGCTGTTACGCTCTGTATTTTATCTCTGCTTGGTGATAAATTAAAGGAATACTGCAAATAAATGAGGGGAAAAGAAACAATGCAGGGGTCACTGAATAATGTGCCGATTATTTTCATTATCTTTTTATCCACCGAATGTCAGCCATGGACTACTTATATGAAACAGTAGAATAAGTATTTTACTGTTATCTATGTGTATATATAATGACCTCTGTGTGTCCCTCTGTGCCAGTCATCAGCGACAGTGCAGAGCCTCAGTGAGAACGCCACCACCCCAGTTTCTCTTCCCTCCTCTGTGTTGAACCAGACTCCGCCCCAGCCTCAGAAAGATGTGGCTGGCCTGAGCGTGGCGCCCCAGTCCTACGGCACCCTGGGCTCCATGATTGGGGGCCTGCAGGGAGGAGATGAGGGCCTGGAACCCAGCCAGCGCAGGAGCAGCGGCAGACCTGAGCTGCTGCCTGGCTCCAACCAGTAGTAGATTAGAGTAGCAGCACCTGCTGAGTCCGGCCTCTCTCTTCTCACTGTGTCAGTCCAAGTAAAGAGTTTGTTTTCAAAATGAAAGAGTCACCTGATCTTAAAACTGCTCTTGCAGCTTAACTTTTCTGGAGGCCCAGTAGTTGTGTATTTTTCTGTGGTGTGTACATATTTATGGTTGTATATTTTAACGTATGAGTCAAAGTATATTGTACATCTGTTTGTATTCTGTTTCCTTTTCATCACTGTGAAAAGTGAAGTACAAATAAAGTTGACCTACTTCCTTCATTCTTTTCCTACTGGTTTGATCAAATTGTGACTTAAGATGGATGTTGCACTTATTTTTTTATTTAAAGCAGCTAATCAGTGATAATGTGACAATAAGAACCAGGTCTCAGGCTGTGAATCTGTAGCTCTTCTCGACTTGGCAAAGCTTTATGGTGATTTTCAGCTCATTGTTTAGTGTCTGGACAAAGGTTTCACTCTGACCGCTCTCCTAATGTGGTTTTCAGTTGCAGGCGGAAGATGCTTTCAGAGAAAATGCTCTAAAAAGCTGCTGTCCACGACCTGCTCCGAAGCAAAGAGCAGACAGACATAGTCAGAAACCAGCTGGTGAACAGAGCCGAGCATTTAGCAGCTAAGACCAAAACCAGAGCAAACAGAGAGGGAACACTGCACTGAAGCTCATCAGGTGGACACAAGGGTTCAATATATTAACTTTCTGCTGCTTGTTATTAGGAAAAACAAGTTTATTGCGGATTTAAAAACCCTTTTCATTCTTTATTCCAACTTCTGATAGAAATACTTGGTCAATGAAGTAGCTACCGTCTTCAGGTGCTAGTAGTGTTGCACTGTATTTGTAGCAGGAAGCTGTTGTTACTGTTTTCTAGCTCAGTTTATTTATATTTGTGGTAATGTAGAAATGTGTGTGTTGTACTGTAAACAGTGTAAATGTGCCCTACTCTCCAACAGGAGGAGCTCTAGGTTCAGGAAGGCTGTGCTTTCACCTGTGCCATGGCATTAGTAGAGTTTTCCCTTCTGTGTCCCCAGCTCAGGGACAGCTCAGCTGCTCATACAAAGCTGTCTTGTCCGTGTGTCCTCAGCTCAGCTGCTCATACAAAGCTGTCTAGTGCCAGTGGCTCTTTTCAGACTAGAAGTTACCACAAAGTCCAGGTAGGCTATGAGGAAGCAGAACATTACAACACTTGAGTGAAAACAGTAGCCTACCAACAGTCTAGTGAATGTAACGACGTTACTTTTCACCACTATGAGAAACTGAACAGGAGTGTGTGTTGTTAGGGCAGCCTCTATTTAAAATGTGGTTATTTGTGTGCTGTGTTTTCTTTCTCTACAACTTTTGTGTCCACATTTTGTCACTTTAGTTGAAGTTTGTTCGGACCTCAGGGGGTGATTCTCCATTTTTCCCCCATCATATCCCGGAGAGTGTCCGCGTCCAGCTGCATCTGTTGGTGGCTGCTTGTTTCCTGTATGAATAGTAAATGCAAACCACGTGGTGTGAAGCAGACTGCAGCTTCTTTTGTTCAAATCACTCAAACCGGAGACGGACAGAGAGCTGCTGAATCAAGAAATCACCGGTACATGATTTATTCTTACCTTTATCAAATCATACATATTTGCACAAACCCCCAGAGGTTCTACGTAGGCTAAACAAACAGAAAACGCGTGTAATGAAGAAAATAGTAAAAAAGTTTTTGTTGTAGCATCGTTTCATATAACGTTACTGTCCGTGTCTTTATTTAGAGTGCCTGTTAGCTTACAGTAGCGACGTAACGCTAGCTTAATGAACTCTCTCAGCCACTAAGTTTTTAATTTTATCTCAGTCGGCATTTAACGGACCTTGCTATTTGCTTACGTACAAACTTTACCTAGCTCGTTTGTGTAGTGGCCAACTATAATTTCTCGTGTTGTGTGTTAGCATGTCGGCTAGCTTGCTACATTATGTGAACAAAGAACGACTGTGGTTAGCTCGTTAGCCTAATGAGGCTAGCAGCGTTAGCCGCTGCTACACTGACACCGGGTACTGTTTTTGTTTGCTGCTGGTTTTTGCTTTCACTGGTTATTAATTAGACAAAACAACTGGCCAAAGATTAAATTCTAATAATCGGCACCTGACAAAAGAGACACACTAGCGCTATGTATGCAAAACTTACTTTTTAAAAATATATGCAGTACTCCATTGGGTTCAGTTGTGTTTACAGGAAGTAACGTTGCACTTGCTGAAATTAAGTTAATGCCAGTTTTTCCACAACTTGTTCATTCATTTTATTCGTTGGTGACTGTATTATCTGATGTTTTATAAAGAATTTTTTTCACTGAGGCTTTTTTTCCCCCATTGTTTCGCTGTGGTGCAGTTCTAACATTGATTCATAGAAGTAGTTCTCCTTGAGCTGTTCTTGAATTTTGTTATTCTGTAGTTTGTAAGAAATATGTCCAGTATGTCTTGTTAATATTTATTCTATCTAGATTCTTCATATATTCATTGTTTCTTTGAAGGGTCTGAATTGCACAATTTCACACTCCATATAACTCAGTACTTCCTCTTTCTGATAAAAACAGCTTCTGATTTAAAAAAAATGCCACGTAAGAAGGCGACAGACATCTCAGGGAATGGTGGGATGAAGAAGAAGAGGGCCAGCGGCAAAAGGAAAGAGAGGGACTTCAGTAGCGATGATGAGTTTGACTTTGAGCAGGAAAACAACAAGAAACCTGGCAAACCTGCCGCCAGGTCTGGTCTCCAGCCTGTCACTGTGGCAGACGACGTCAAAGAGAAAATAGTAGGTTTAATGCAGTGGCTGCTTCAAGAAAACAGTTTGAACTGTGTCTTCATTTAAAAAAGTTGCTTGGTTTTTTATTTTATTTGTTGTCTTCCCACCTGTGTGTGGGGGAGCAGAAGTATCCAACATTAAATATTAAGTATGAGGCATTTACTCTGTTTTATCTGCACGTTTTTGTGTTTTAGTTTAGTTTTGGACAGTCTGGTGCTTTTTTAGTCTTCACCATCTTTTATGTGCTTTCTGAGAAAACATTGCCAATGTGTGAAGAGTTTGTTTGTTTGCTGGATGTCTATTATCTACCAGGATACTTACATGTGATATGTTAACTAAAAATCCTTGCTCATCAGTAATTATTCAAAAAATTCAGCAAACAAAGTAAAAGTCTACAGACTGTAATAACAATAATGATTTATTTGTTTATATAGCACTTTACAACACCGAAGGGAGCTCAAACTGTAGGTTTTCCTTCAATCAGATCACAGATGCTTCAATCCGGCTGCACTTGTTTGCTTTTTAAATTTGAGCGGCAACATATGAGCAGGTTTTATGTTATTGACTCCATCGCTTCCTTTCTACAGAAACTTGAGTGTCCAAAGGTCAAAGGTCAGCTGCTCATCTTTGGAGCAACCAACTGGGACCTGATTGGAAGAAAAGAGGTGCCCAAACAACAAGGTAGAATATTTCTTATAACTTCCCCTTTTTGGAAGTTGATGCTTCTCGCTTTCTTTTTGCTTACATATTTCACACTAACACTGATTAATATCTGTCATAAAAGTCTTTTGAATTTAGTGCCATTCACGTCTACGTGTGAGAGAAGAAAGTCGACAGGCATTGGCTTGGTAAAGCTGCTGTCTCTGAATGCCCCCAGCGCCAGCTTGGTACCTCTTATACAGAACAGCGTGGCTGAAAATTGGCGCAGTAATCCTGTCTTGAACATGTAACGGGGGCTTGTCTTCTCTGCTCGTCTGAGCCCAGATGACATGCACAAGGTTGTACAGGCAGACAGATCAATAAAGGACTGGTGAGATTTTCTAGCGTGTCTGCAGAACAGAATGAAATGGCCAAAAATGATCACATTAGGTTAACGTGTGCCTTTTTTTAAGGATGCACAGGCCACCTATGTGTTAAAGCCACTGAGATCTCATTAGCTGATTGTGACAGTAATGTCTATCTATATGTATGCGTGTTGTGCACTGCCCCCCTGCAGCTGGCTCGCTGTTGCCCAGGCCAGGGCTCTGCATCGCCATGTTCCGTCTTTGCCTCACTCTCTGTTGCACAATGATAAATCAGCTTTGCTGAGACTGGATGGGGGTTGGGGGTGTCAGCAGGAGCAGCTGCATAGACAAAGACTGTGTAGAGATGGGCGAGACGCTGTGCTTGCCAGAGCACCACACACACACAGAAATAATTCTTTTATTGTCCATATGTAAAGGCTCAGCTTGGTGTTTTTAACGCTTTCTGTGGAAGCGCAGCAGCAGTTTGTTTTCGTGCAGCCTGTGTCGATCTTGTGAAGTTCGTTTTCATCTTAGTGATCACACTCTGTTCAAGATTTAACAGTAGCACACTCATCACAGTGCTGTTGAAATGAAGAGTGCAGTTTAATTTGAGAAATACAAATGTTTTTCTATAAAGCCCCTTTTTGTTTAGGGGAGTCCATGGCTATGAGTTTTTATTTATCAGATCCGAACTAACAGCAGGCCTCATCCAAGAACATTTTTATTAACTTTTCAGACTTTTTCATCAGGTCTTTAGCTTCATTCCCATCTCAGGCCTTAATGCTCAGCTCTAATCTGTGTGTCGCTTCCCGTCCATGTGTGTCAGCGCCGTGTACCTGGCTCCGGTGTGAACAACGCTGAGCTCCTAAACTGCCACATGTGCACAGATTTAACTGAAATGTGAGCCACATGCGCACAACAATAACAACCAGGTAGTGTGTGTGATGGTCAAATGGCCCAGTTTCCTCCCAAACCACTGGGTTACGATATGTTCCTCCCAGTTTGTCCTGATCAGAAGCTTCTCCATAAACGTCCACCACATGTGAAACATCCTGGTCTCTCCTCCATGTTTACTGTTACCGGTCTGTGAGGGGCCGACGCCGAATGATGATGATAGGCCGTATATGCAGAGGAGGAGATGTTAAAACGACCACATGGATTCTGATCTGACCGTTCTGATGGCGCTCACACAGTCAGGGGTCAGCGAGGAATCAGGTCTAGGAGCAGTTTTGCAGGTGGCCCAGATCTGGTCTGGTCTGTTCACATTGCTGTGGACACATCAGGTGTGAGGCACTGGAGGGAAACTTCAGCTGAGATGTGGACGTAGCTTCAGAGCTAGCTTTGTAGCTTTTTTCTTTTTAAGGACTGTCTTAACTTGGCCTTTTAGAAGCTGCTTTTAACCTCTGGATGTTTTGTGAATATGGCCCCTGATGTTCTTTTGTCACAGATGACGAACAAAGACACAAACACAGGTCTCACAGGAGTTTAGTGTAGGGTGGTCAGCTCAGTGGACACAGACTGGCCAATAAATATGTAATATTTGAGTCTGATTTTATTCTGAAAATTGAAAGTCAGGCAGCTCTTCATGGGATAGGGTGTGTGTATGATGCGATCAGCTATTGTTGTTTGTGTGTTTCCAGCTGCTTTCCGCAACTTGGGCCAGAATCTGTGGGGTCCTCACCGCTACGGCTGTCTGAACGATGTGCAGGTGAGCTGTGTGGTGTCTGGGCCCTGTGCTGCACACAGTCTCCTCGTGACCAGTGAGGGCAAGCTGTGGAGCTGGGGTAAGTAACACGCTGCTTCCTGCTCAAAATATTGTGTTCGGGTTTATACTGGGGGTGGAACGGTTCGCACAATTCATGATTTGGTTCATTTTCAAAAAAAAAGTTCTTGATAAATACTTTCCATTTATTTGGCAAAGGTTAACAAAGGTTTGCCTTAATTCTGGCTAAGATCATAAGGAAGCTCTTCTTCACTTATTGTCAAATCTTAATTATTAAAAGAATAAGTTTTCTCATTAGTGCAAACAAAAATGCAACTATATTTAAGAATGGCCACTTAGCATAAACCAAACACACACAGTTTCTAAACAACACTGCTCATTCTGTTTTTATGTCCTTTTAAATTTTCCTTTTCATTCACGTTCTCTGTCACTTGGTACAGGTGTACCTGGGAATGAGAGGTAACGTTTTGTTCACCACTTGAGTCGTGTTTTGTTTCATGTGCATCACACAGCAGATATCGAATAGGTCAGCTGACAATGAGCACATAACATGCATGTTTAGTGAAGCATAATCTCCACAGACAGCTTTTTAAATCACTGCTTATTTTCTGAGCATTTAGTGTCACTTTACCGTCGCTGTGGCGAGCTGGAGAAAATCAACAACCTGCAATTAGGCTAATAAATTCATTCACAACAACGTGCTGATTTCTAACTGAGGAAACTACATGAAACTGTCTTTTGCCAGTACATTTCTGCTGCCAGTCAGTCTGGGGATGACACAGCTGCTCCGATGACCTGAACTCGTGTCTGGCTTTCAGTGTTAATTCCCAGTAAATCTGTAACCATTCCACCCCCAGTTTATGCTGAGTGAAACCAGCTCTGATTAGTGACTGGTTTATGTCACAGTGTTTCACTTCAGAGTGGAAGGAGCTGTCTGTCACTGACCTTTTGGTTCTTGTCTTCCTCAGGTCGTAATGACAAAGGTCAGCTGGGTCACGGTGACACCAAGCGTCTGGAGGCTCCCAAATTAATAGAGGTCCTGGCAGACCATGTGATTGTTGCAGCAGCCTGTGGACGCAATCATACCCTGGCACTCACAGGTAGACTGAACCGTGGTGGCGGTGTCAGACACCTCAGCAGCTGCTGTCAGTGCTGTTGTGGTCGGTGTTTGGAGCGAAAAGTCTAGGGCTGAGCGATACATCGGACTAATGGCGTTAATTATATTTTTGATGTTGAACAATGGGAAAATGCCTAAATTGCAAAAGTGAGTTCAATGATTCCTCTTGTGTTACTTCCACTCAAACGCCAGCAGGTCCCTGAAGTTAAAGCAGTAACAAAAGCTGTTGGCATTTACTTTGGGACGTGCACGTGTGAGCTTTGCCAGTCGGCAGCTCAACAAACCCGTGGCAGTTTATTTTTTGGCTGCTCTTAAACCTGATCCAGATGTTTCTTCAGTCATTGCCCAGCAGTGGGGCTTTAGTTTGTTTCATTTTATTTTAACAGATACTAATGCACAGTGACACCTTTGAGTGCAGCACAGCTGCACAGCCCTGCTTGGGTCCTGATTCAACACAGAACTAGTTTGATTGTGTTGGTCATCAGCTGGATGACGATGATGTTTCCAGTTTTCACTGCCCTGTGTTTGTTACTGTCTTGTAAACCACAGTGGACAGAGTGTGGGAGCGAGTCGATGAATGCTGCTGTTTGCTCACTGTCGCGTTTCTCCTCAGAGGATGGCACTGCATACTCCTTTGGTGAGAACAAGCTGGGCCAGCTTGGCCAAGGCAACCAGACCGATGCAGTCCTCAGTCCAGCACCGGTAAGCCGTCACCGTAACGCCTCGTAAACACTGTAGACCCTGGGACGCGAGAGGCTCATGCAGAGACGCACTGCAACACATGATCCACACTGATGCAGTCACAGCCACAGCAGTAGCCATTTCTAGCCTGCGCTGGTTCAGACTCGCTGGGTTAAATGGGTTTCAGATGGGACACGGCATGCGCTGTGCTTGCCGTGGGGATGGGTTGGGTGCCAGTTGCTAGGCGACCACACAGCTTTCCAGGAGGTGGTTAGCAGATATTAAGTTTTTCGAGCAGCGGACTTGGATGCACGATGTATCTATGTATGTCAGCGAAAAGCTCTGGCTTTAGTTGTATTGGTGAGGAGGAGGATGCATGACCTTGCACTCAGCTCAGTGCAGTGCAGGTACGTTCTTGCACCACGTAACACAAAGAATTTAATGGGTTCGATAGTGGATCACAGCGCCCACCGTGTCCTAACTGAAAGCCCCCCTTACACTACAGGGCCATAGCAATGGCTAACTGTGGGGACAGCTAGTAGCAAGGCCGCACAAAAGTAGTTAAAAAAAAACTGTTCATGGTAAACATGTGACTCTACCTTCTCTCGCTCCTCCTAGATTTCCTACAATGGCCAGCCTCTGGTGAAGGTGGCCTGTGGTGCAGAGTTCAGCATGGTGGTGGACTGCAAGGGAAACCTGTACTCCTTTGGCTGCCCGGAGTATGGACAGCTGGGTATGGTCAAAACATGCACGCACATCTATCGTTTTTATTGTCGCCTTTGATTAAAGTGTATTTAAAGGGTCTGCTACAAAATATTAGCATAAGACTCTCAATATTTTGATTAGATGCAGTTTCCATTTGTTATTTAAACTATGTTAGGTGAAAAATCAAAAGCAGTGACTGTTTTAATAAATGTTGAACAGAGAATGGTCGACAACACTCACGTCAATCACAAATTGTCCACTAGAGGGCACTGACACCTTGATCTTTAGTGGACTAAATATTTATGTTCAATGATTAATCGATCTGCACCGACATTTGTATGATGTTGAACGCTCGTGTGTGATTGCAGGTCACAACAGTGATGGGAAGTTCATCGCTCGTGCCCAGCGCATGGAGTTTGACTGTGAGCTCATTCCTCGCCGAGTTGCTATCTTCATTGAGAAGTCCAAGGATGGTCAGATCATGGCCATGCCCAACGTGGTGGTCCGAGATGTGGCCTGCGGGGCAAACCACACGGTGAGAAAACGCCTCATTTGATCTGAATCAAAATAAACAGTAGCCTGACTAACGATGGTCTAAACAAAGTGCACAAGCCTTCGCACGGGTCATTAAAACAACTGTGTTGCAGCTGGTGCTGGACTCTCAGAAGCGAGTGTTCAGCTGGGGGTTCGGTGGTTATGGGCGCCTGGGCCACACAGAGCAGAAGGACGAGATGGTTCCCCGGCTGGTCAAACTGTTTGACTTCCCTGGTCGCGGTGCCAGTCAGATCTATACAGGCTACCAGTGTTCCTTCGCCGTCAGCGAGATGGGTGAGTAGAGAGCTCATCTGACTCCAGCAGCTCCACAGATTCTTTGGCTGACCATTAACACAACAACCAACTGAGAAGTCAGTGTACTGTAATTAATGGAGGTGGTGGTATGTTGCTCTAGATGTCTGATCAGTGCTGTATTCACAGGGGGGCTGTTTTTCTGGGGGGTAACAAACACTTCCCGTGAGTCGACCATGTACCCCAAAGCTGTGCAGGATCTGTGTGGCTGGAAGATTCGCAGCCTGGCGTGCGGGTGAGTGCTGAAGTGTTCTTTGCTCTCCCCTGTGACAGACGGTATTTAGTCTTGCTTTTAGTGCCTCTTTTCGGTGTTGCACTTTGTAGACAGTCTCACATGCACATACGCTGTTTCATCAAAACAGAAAGGTTACTATGGTAAAGAGGCTTCATTTTGCTTATGATTTATTGATCTGGGAACTTTAATCTGGGAACATCTCGTTCTAGGACTAGTCTTAGGCTGCTTTATTCTGATATTTTTCAGTCACCATTTAGTTTTAGAATATCTGGTCGGTCCGTCAGAATAACATGTAGGCTTATTTGGACATTTGCTCCACCGTTTTCAGCTAGTGAACAAAGCTCTCTTCATCAGATTCCCCTTGCTCTTCATCGGACTCAGACTGCAGTGGAATTTTCCTGTGTCTCGAATATCTAAATACCAAAATACCAATTTAATGTGCAAACTGCACATTATTGGACAGACCAGCTGTTGTTTATTTAGCCAGATGCTAAAATAAGTCAGTAATACTCTAAGTGCTCATGTGGCCTGGCTAGTCGCTACTCATTTTCCTAAGCTCTACTCTGACGTGCAGTGGTTTTTCCTCTGTGTTTGTATTTAACAGGAAGAGCAGCATCATCATTGCTGCAGATGAGAGTACAATCAGCTGGGGCCCCTCGCCCACGTTTGGAGAGCTGGTAAGTCCTGAGGCCTCATTACACTGTCACAGACAGACTGTTCTTCAGTCCTCAATCACTGGACAGTGGAAACAGAGTGTTGTTAATAGGCAGCTGCCTTCATGTGTTTCTGTGAAATCAGTGTCAGAGGCTTTTTGACCTTGGTTAGTCGAGGGTCAGATTGGTAGATACTGAATAGTGATGAGGAGTATTGGCTGATGCAGTCTGGATCTCACCACTGATTGTATCGTCATTTGTCCTTCAGGGTTATGGAGACAGCAAAGCTAAATCTTCCACCACTGCCCAGGAGGTCAAGACCCTGGATGGCATCTACACTGAGCAGGCAAGTGTACGGTTGTTGAGCATGTTATCGATATATGTTCCAGTTTACATAGATGCAAAGTCTGATAAAATGTTACAGCCTGTGGTTGGCAACACATTTCACTCAAAACAACAAAACGGCAACCTCACGGTGCTGCTAGTGAAAAGGTCGAGGGCTCACTGCCTTACGGGGGTCCATCTGTTCTCGTTTACACAATGTTGAGATAATCGGCTGACCGGTGTCATTTGATTTTGCAGGTGGTGATGGGATACTCTCACT